TCAGCCAAGAGCATCACAAGGTCTACCTTGCCCAGTACCAGGACTGCGGCACTCATGTGGTTCCGTCCAAGGGGAAAAAGAACAAAGGAATGAAAGGAATATGCTCCGAGGCCGGCGAGGGAGTAGGCGACAAGCAAGGCCGGCACTATGGATATCCGACTTCGACCTCAGCAGCGGCTGGCGTCTGCACCTCATATTCGACAGCGCCGCATCCCAAGTGGTCGTCTACTTCGACAGATGTCATGACCTTGGAATTTCGCAACACGGGACTCTTCCGGCCCGCGATTCAGACCGGCGGTGGTCGGGGAGCAAATCTACCAGAGCCAACAACCAGCCTGAGATCTACCCTTGGTCCTCCTTGGGGCGGCAATGTCACATCTTCTGTTGGTCACGGCACAGCTGGAAGCACCGGCTTCCTTCCCGTGCCTACTGGCGCGTCTTCATCGGGTATTTTTACCACCGTGAGCTTCGAGCCTGTGACCTTGTCTAACTCGACCGTGCCTGGGACAACTGCGACAGTCTCACAGTTTTCCTTTGAGTCGTTCTCGTCGAGCAGTACTCGAGCTGATGTGCCCACTCTAACCACGACTCCATTCCCGATAATGTCTTCTTCCTCGTGTGCTTCGAGTTCCTCCTCGTCGGAATTCGACTTTGGCAGCTCAGTCACTAGCGACTGGTTTACTTGGGACAGCTCCAGCAGCAGCGAGTCTTTGGCTACTCCGGTAGTGACCATCCCGGTCGAGCCCCACGAGACCATTGTGGTCAAGCTGCAGTCCACCACTTACACCATTGTCGACGGAACCACGGTAGAGGGCGAACTATCGAGCAGCACCTCGTTTGACCCCTCGACCTGGTACTCCTCACTGACAAAGCACAAACACGACACCAGTACCTCGTCCGACTCATGGGACACTTCCTTCTCGTGGGAGACGTTGAGCTTCACGACCTTTTCCGACGAGCCGTCAACGACGTCGACCAAGAAGAAGCATACCACCACTTCCTCGTCGACCCACAAGAAGACCAAGACCACCAGCAGTACCTCTTCGTATGCCTGGGAGACGTCGTCATCATCGTCCTCGATCGATGCCGAAGCAGGCGGCTATCTCACTTCCTGGATCTGGAACCCAACCGGGACAAGCGAGATCGATCCTTTCTACACAAGCAGCACCACGTACAACGACGACAAGCAGGCGTCTTCTTCCTGGGCTTGGGAGTCTTCTGTGGATAACTCTATTAGGATGACATTTTGGTCTTCCACGCCGATTTCTACACCCTCCCCCGAGTCCTCATTCCTGTTGTCTTGGTCGTCGTTTGATCCAGAGTCATCATCATCATCATCATCATCATCATCATCATCATCATCATCATCATCATCATCATCATCATCATCAGCATCTGATGACTGGAGTAGTTGGAGCAGCCCCAGTTCAATTCCCTCATCCTCATCCTTATCCTCGGAATTGTCTTGGAGCTGGAGCTGGAGCGCCAGCCCTACCTCCAGCTCAAGCTGGGACTGGGGTAGCAGTACGAGCTCGATCCCCGAGAGCTCTAGTACCTCCGAGTCGAGCTGGAGCTGGGACTGGGGAAGCAGTACCAGCTCTTCGGCAGAGAGTTCGACCTCGAGCTGGGATTGGGGTGACAGTAGCTCCTCCATCGAGAGTAGCACGACGACGACGACGACTCATCACCGCCACCACACCACCACCACGACAGAAAGTTCCAGTGCGAGTGCGAGTGCCAGCTCCAGTTCCGAGTCCCTCACGTTTGACAATGCCAGCTCCATCGAGTTTTCATCAGTGCTCCAATCCATCGCCGTCTCTGAAGCGCCATCGAAGACTACCACCGTCATTTTGACGGCCACTGCAATTGTGACCGAGACATGGACACCTAATCTTGAGAGACGCCAGATCCACCAGACCTCGGTCGATAACCGGCCAACCTTGACAGAGCCGATAGTGGATGGCACCACTGAATGGATTGACAGCACCGAGACGATTGTCGAGACGGACTGGGAAACGACAATGATTGATACACCGCTGTCCTTTGGTACTCCGTCCGACTCCGGGACTACTACCGTCATGATTACAGAAACGACCATGACCACTGTAACAGGGGCGCCTGGCCTGGCCCTGGAAAAGGATATCCGCCCTCGGTTCAAAAACTTTTATATCCCGCCCAGCAGTCTGCACATCATGCCTTGGCAGACTGATGCCGCTGCTCCTCCAGACCAGGCCAAGGGTCTGGAGAAGAGAGTCCATGCCGGTCCTGGGGATAGTGCCAGCGGCTATGACTCGGGGTATGAGTCTGGTTTTGAGGCCGGTTCGGGGTCGGGGTCTGACTGTGACTTTTTGTCCAGTGCAAAGCAGCCAACCTCGGATGCAAAGGCGATGGATTGTCTCCGCGCCATGGAGGCTCACCAGAACAAGGGCCGATCCGTCGCCTTTTGCAAGAGTTACCTGTCGATGATGCATGGTGGGAGTGGACCGGACGAGAAGGAGAGTGATGATGCTGGCATGAAAATCCCCCGCTATCTCCAGTCGGGCTGTGAACTTGGCAATCTTGACCACGGCAGGCTGATCGGCCAAGCGTGCAAGTGTCTGATTAGCAGCCCCGGGGGTCCACCTCGGGTTTAAAGTTTTCATCTGACCAGGTGTGGGGATGATGAAGCTTTTGTGAAGCGCGTTTTGAGACGCGGATAATTTGAAGGGAATGGACATGAAATGTATCTTTCTTTGGCTCAAGACAACAAAAAAAGCCTCTTATTGTTTATTACCAAGGGTATCAAGGAGATGGTAACATGGTAATCACTACTAATTTCTTCTCTCATTTGTTCTTAATAAAAGCAATTCTTCTTTCAATCCTTTTGCCTGTCTGCTTCCAAGTTCCGTGATTCCAAGCTACTGCCATGACATCTGACCATCATACCTACCCAACATTCATTGCTCAGCGCCGTGGGTCCTTTTACAGACAAGGTGCATCAGCCATCTAGCCCTTCACCGGCTTTGGCGTCGGGTTAGGCGGCAAGAAAGGCGGACTCCCACCATCATTCATCGGCCCATCCAACTTCTGATGTCCACCCGTCTCATCCCTCCAAGCGGCAGGCTGAACGCCAGCGGTATAATCCGCCGAGGTGTCGACCCCGAGTCGGATGTAGCTAAAGATGCCATCCTCGACGCCGTCTCCGAGCATGACATATCTCATAAACGGGTCATCAGTCAGCGTAGTGATCTTGAGCAGTCCATCCTCGTTGTTCTTCTTTAGAACTTGTGTGTTCTCTGTGTATGGAGGGATCTTTTCGACCTCGGTGATGAGGGACTGGTCAAAGTAGATCTGGGTGATGTGCGCTACCCTGCCCGAGGTGCCGATTGTCTTGTTTGCTTGGCGGCTTGTGTTGAGGTGGATCATTACATGAATATGGGTAGCCCGTCCCTCGTAGTGGCCAGGGAAAAAGGTGTCAAAGACGGCTGCTCCGTCTTGGTCGGTGAACTGGATCCCCCTGAGGGCAGTAGAGTTGATAACGGAGCGGTCGTAGCCCATGTCGTTGCCCTGTCTGTAGAAGCTCCAGACGCCGCTGTAGACGCCCGTCGTGTTGCATCCCCAAATGTCCACTGCCGCGTAGGGAATGGGAGCACATGTCTTGGCGTCTACGACTTGGATCTCGAGAGCCATGGGCACGCCCGTCTCGTTGTCGGTGATGTTGCGGCGGATCTGTTCACCTTGGACGTCTGCACCAGAGGTCAGCAACCAGAAAAGTGTTGGTAGGAATCGACTAACTGACAAAGTGGTCCCTCAGACACAAGTGGCGCTGCCATGCAAGCCCCGTCGTCGGCAAACAGCTCTGCGGGCTTGGTATCCTCGGTAAAGGGCTTCTTGGCCTTGTGGTTCTTGTTCAGGTACTCGTCAAGCTTGCTCAGTTGGCGTCGAGGCAGGGCGCGGCCCTTGATTCCCCGCGCCTTTCTCAGTCTCTCAAACTCGCCATGACGGCGCTCAATCGTTCTCTTGACAAATTCGGGCTCCTGAAAAGTACCATGGCATTGTGATACATGTGGAATGCGTGAATCGACGGGCTTTGCTGCGTGCAGAGGGACCGTCTCCTCTACTCCCGGATGAGAAAGCCCCGGCTGCAGAGCGAGGAAGAGGCAGAGAAAGACACGAGCCCAGGTCATATTGAACAGATGGTTTTGGCACGCTGTTGATGTGGTACGCTGTTGATGTCCTTGTGTAAAGTTGAAAGGAAAGACTCTCAACAATGAGCCAAACTTGCCATTCTATGGTCTTTATCTAGATACCAGCCAGCGAGAGAAGCCAAGCCCAAGACCCCCAACCCAACTGCCGTAAGATGCCCGATTCACAGACACTGGAGGCTGTTGCAATATCACGAGTGAAACAGTAATAGATGAGCTCCATAGATGATATAGCCGTACTTGCTGTCAGAGTTGTATTCTACGGGAGGTCTCGCGCAATGCGAGGTTCTCGCACTTTTGTGTAACCAAGACTTGGTCGAGTAGATTTGCTGACCGGGAGTTAAACGCCGGCAGGCAGCGTTTCCCGGCGGCTATAGAATGAGATATGCAGTTTATCTACAAACAGCCTATGATATCAATTGCGTTGGACAGTGATATGGAATCCAAATCTTGCCAAAGACCCGCCAGGAGTGTAATATGGCACCTGACGCTGCCGAAGACCATGTATCTCCCGCCATCATGACCGTGCTGCTGATAAGGCATGTAGGTCTGCAGCTGTTGCTTGGTCCGCCAATAGTCTCCAACTTGGTTAAACCTTTTCATATTGCCTTTGAAATCATGAGTTTCCACGTTGATGATGGATCCCTGCGTCTCGTCGGGGATCAATAAGTAACAATATCCAAAAGAATATGACATTTCAAGCCATGATTTCTGAACCACTCACGTAGTTGGTGGAATGGTTATGGTGTATGGAATTCTGATTGTTTGCAGTCTCCATAATCCACTTTCTGACAAGACGTTTTTATCCAACATCCAGGCAAGATGGCCGAGCGGTCCAAGGCGCCACGTTAAGGTTAACCTTGATTACAATCACCTCCATTCCTCTCCACAAGAGAAGAAGGCTTGATTCCGTGGTCCGAAAGGGCGTGGGTTCGAATCCCACTCTTGTCATAACACGTTGCAGTACCAGCCACCACCATATGTCACGGTAGAGCTCAGGCTCTGCTCTTCATTTTTCTTTTGCCATTATCACACCGCAAGCTTTGGTTGAACACGGCTTCTATCAGAAGAGTATACTGGTTTTATATTTCTCGACGGGCTTCTTTTCATACACTACGTACCCGCTTCTACCAGGCGCGAGGGCTCGTCGTGTTGGACTAGAGGTCCATATTCCCGAATTGCTCCCTAGCCTGCGCCTCTGCTACCGCAGCAGCCCTGTCCGCCACACAATTGGGACAATCTCTGTAAACAGTCCACTCCAGAGTAGCATCTTCCTGAAAACCCTCGTTGCCATAGGTACACAGATACCGGTACTCGACCTCTGCTCCTGCATATGTTTTTTTGTTGGGGTCAAGAACGATGCCGTCCCTGCCCGCCCGGTATACGGCGGCTTCGCAGGGCACACAAATGACAAGCGAAATGTCCCAAGCACTATAATTCGAGCCATAAGGGCAATCGAAGGTGCACATGGTGTATAATCTCGCCCATCTGCACATTTCGTCCGAGTTGCTAGTGAGAGCTGATGCAATACGAAAATGCTTGTCGTTTGAAAGTATCAGGTCGAAATTCGGTGTCTCGTCAGGTTCTGGGCTATGTGACAAGATAAAAGATGTGTCCGATGAGCTGCCCGGGATTCCATGGGAACTTATACCTTGACATCTCAGTCTTTGCCTGGCGGTAAGGCATCTTGCAGTATTGTGCAATGTACCTATCCCCTTTGTCTCTTGAAGCTGAAGTATTCCACTCTCCGCATGTACCTATCCTGAGTCGACAATAAAGCTACAATCTTATTTGCCCCGTGTCGCGTGATGCCTCGAAAGTTGTTAGTTGGTAGTTCACGTCTCTTTCAGGAACTGTCCCAACTCGAAACTTCAAAGCCATATGTGGACCAAACAAACTACCAACTTGATCAAGAAAACCATTGACCGCAAAGAAATACCACTGGGAGATGGTAATGTAGTCAAGGCTTGGTTGTTGGCACGGGAAATTAGTGGCACGGGACTCGGATAGGGTGTATGCCTATATGAAGCTGAGTGGGATCACCATCCCATATTATTACCTATCATTCTTGTATTTTCTTTATTATCCCTGTTATTTCATCTGTTCTGGTCTTCATTTCCTTGTCCCAAGAAAGCCCTGTATCCAACTGCAGGACCATTACCAGTAGACCATATTCCGATGCTGACGTAAAGCTACGCCCCCGCTAGTTCTAGGCACCAAGTAGTAGTCCCGGTGAGTCTGTAACGCTGGAGCAGCATCCCAAGACAGCCGCACCCTGGTGCTATTCTCCCTATTCATGCTCCAAATATTCTCGGGGTTGAGAGTTATGTATCTCTTCCCGGGCCTAGAAAGCCAAGAAGCGCCGTTCGCGATTGCCTTGTCCAGCCCGTCAGGCTCTTGGCGCGGTTCTTGCTCACAAGCCCATATGAGGCCAGTCCCGTCCCATACTTTTCGAGTCCCATGGGTGAAGTACAGGTGCCGTTTCGCCACATCAAAATCTGTCGGCACGAGGAAGGTCCGATTTACTATGTACTCGATCCCTCCTTCTTCCAGCTTTTTCTTGACTACTGCGAAGGATTCCGTCAAGCTCGTGGTTTCCCTGAGCGTGTCTACCCTGATCGTGGTGTCCTTTAGGTCCATCCCCTCCATTTCAGTGATGTACCGCTGAGAAATGCTGATCGAGCTGACCAGCCGCTTTATATTGGGGTGGTGAGCCAGTATTTGTTCCGCCAGCCCTCCGAGCGTTGATATATACGATTGCGCGGAGGAGGTGACCTCGTCTGACATCAGGCTGATGTAGTGCACCTCCTCAAGCGACTGGTCACAGTATTTCATCCACTTTGCCATCAGTTTGGTGCTACAGCCGTTGAATATCAGACGCTTGACTCTCGGCAGGAGCGAGGGACGATCCGAGCTGGAACTCTTCATATTACCCTCATGAACAGCCAGGTTGTCCGTATGGATTTCGATACACTCGAGCTCTAGAGCAGCAGACGCCAACCAACATGCCGCCTGTCGGGGCGATGGAGAGCCACGAGTCCCGGTGCTAATCTTGACGCTCTTGAGATTCGGGAATGATCTATGACGAAGCAATCTAGACGTTGAATGGCTGTCCGGGATCATGACGGACTCGACACGATCAACGTTGGTGCAGAGGCTGATGAGGAACTCCATCATGTACCAGGGTTTCTCCATCACAAAGTAGCCAATCGTGCGCTCATCAGAGAAACGACCTGGATATATATGTGGACATATATGTTTGATCAAGCTCTCCTGCACGTCGGGCTGCAACAAGTCAAACCTCCATCGGAGGGGGTGATGCGGTGAGTGCCGGTCTTGACCAGGCTTGACAAAGTCATCAATCCTGCTCTCACAAGGGTAGGTCAAGTACTCGAGGTTGAGAAGTTCGACCATTTGGGCGAGATCCGGACGAGACATGAGTGTCTGGGCGAGGAGCAACGGATTGAACCGGGCACCGGGCCAGCGATACAGGTGCCTGGTTGCCACGCTTTGGAGCAACTTGCATGTCCGTGTCAGATGTGCCAGGTCCCTCCGACGGTCGGGAAGATGGTCGGCGTCCCAATCGCCGTCGCAGGTGCAGCGTCGGGCAAAGCACCGCTCGCATTGTTGCTTTCTGACCGGAAACCAAGCAAATTCGTCAATGATGATCTTTTCGATGATCTCGACCGGGATTCTATCGACCAGGGAACTGCGCTGTGACTCGATGGCGGGTGGTGTCATGGGTGCTACTGTTTGAGGTCGTGGCTCCGATAGTGGTCCTTTGACTCCTCTCTGAGGTTGATAAGCAAATGGAAACGGCAACATGGAATACAGACAGAAATGATGTACTCACCCACAAGCTCGCGAAGCTCGCCGGCAAGCATGTTTTCCCCGTCCACCAGCAGTAGCGGTCAATACCAATCAAAACACATAGCGTAGTGATGCATAGTGTGAAGCTCGACATGGAGTCCAAGGTATGCTATGAAGACGTCGGGGATCGCTGTTTTCAAATGGTTGGCAACCAAGATCGAGTCACGTCCGAAGATGATCATGTCAAGTCTCAACTGGAGGTTGGAAGTGTGGGCATTGGGAATCCCTCGGCAAAGCCATGGCAAGCTGTGCGGATCTTCTCGGTTCAAATCTTGAACTCTATTGATTATGGATACCGCTGACCGCGTGGCAGGCAGCGTCACGTCTTTGGGCTTTTACTTTTAGCTTCACCCTTCAAGCCACGTAACGCCGCACGCTGTAAGCAGAACCTCTGTACTGTATGGAGCATCATTTTCCCGGTGCCATGTGTAAATACTACGCTAAGTACACTTCAACGTTGTCCTCCTTGACTTGAGGTCTTCTAGTCCACAGCTCAACGGCCCTCATAATCTTGTGGTCCAGTCCGAGTGTCGAAAAGACTGTTCACCCCTGCCAGCAAATTACAACTCGACCGACTCATGGTCAGATGGGTCTTGTTCAAGGTCCATCTCGTCGATCTCACGCTGGCACCCAGGACAAAACTTGTCCTTGACCTGGTCCAGAGCGGGATCCATGTTATCGGGGTCAGGTAGGCAGCAGTACCGATGCCATGTGCCAACCCGGAGGTCAGGCAGCGTCACTCCGTTGTCTCTAGCCCAGGACTTGGCGAAGTCGCACGGCTGTGAGATGCACACCTGGATCGAGTGCTCAGGCAGTCTGTCTTTTCCGTAATGGCAGCCTCGAAGGCAGATATACCGGTAGCGACCCCACTTGCACATGGTGACGGTCTATGGCTCGAACGGGATCCGTGAGTCGAAAAGATGTGGCGGCGAGAGCGACTTTTCCTATTCGTACCGTCGCATTGTGAGTTAAAGAGACCTTGTAGCAGTGGGGTGTTTGTTGAAAAGCTCATACCTCGTGATGTGCGAATGGGCCTGCAAAGTTCGTAATGTAAAGACTGCACAGCTAGGTGATTCGATGTCGAGAGGAGTAGATGGATGCTGTTGTTTTGCTGTCAAGTGGAGCGTTTTTCGCAGTGTGTGTGCGCAAGCGGGTATGTGTCTGTTGTTTGCGAGGAGGGATGATTCACTGCCCAAGTTCTCGCTCAAATCTGCAAAGGATGGAAGGTAGCTAGAAAGGTCCAGAAGGATAGAATTCTGTCGCGCCTGCTGTCCTGGGGATGGGATGAAAACTGCGGTGCAGGCGCGGAGCGGACTCGAGTCACTCGACCACCCAACAGGCTCTCAACGAGATGGACTGAGTTGGCCAGTGTGAAGTTTTTCGCCCGGGATATGGCTTCGAAATAAACTCCATATTGACCTCGCGATCGGATAGCCCGATTTGTATTCCAATTATATACAAACCTGGTGTTCTTGGTGAGGATCCTGGCCTAGGAATGCTACGAAGGAACAAGATGTCGAAGCAATAAAAGGCTTTTCACAACGCAGCGAGGGAACTTCAAAGTCTAATCAAACTACATCCGGCTCAACTTGCCAAGATGACTGATGAGATGGGTATGGACAAGTATACATGCGTCAAGCCTTGGGTCCCAAACGACGTTGATTCCCGAATACTAATGCAGCTAGTAACTTCCAGACGCAGCGATAAAATGGGTGGAGCGTCACATTTCTGAGGGATTAGTGATCAGACCACCTAGACTTCCGTAGTGGAGGTGAGTCTTCGATCTGACATCTGCCCAGGACCTCACTCTTTCCAAATTGGACACCCAAACAACAGCCTCGGGAAATTTGAAATCAGAGCAATGGAAGACACCACAGACCAAAGCAGCATTGGCTCACCAAACACCAATATCTCCTTTGAGACGGCAGCCCAAAGTCCAGCTAGGCTCCAGCTCGTATCCCATGCTCACTCACCGCCCCTCCAGCCCCCGAGTCATCTCAAATACGACCTGCGATGCATTCAGAACCCACCCAAAGCACTCCGTGACTCGCAAACCGGTCTATCGAAACGTTTGCGCGAGC